CTCCCAGACTCACCTGGGTGGCGTCTCCGAGAGGAAGGTCTCCGTGTGGAAGACTGAATTGCTCCCTGGATGGTTGATGGTGAAGGTTGAAGCTCTGTCCTCACACAAGACATCAGCAAGGAGTGAAGCAGCAGTTCCTGAGCCAGCTTAAGAATCAAACGCAACGACCATGTCCTGTCCCCCAGCGTTGTGCAAGCTGAGGGACTGCGCAGGGAAGATATTAACAGTTCTCTCTATACCTACTCATCAGGCACATTTCCCTCAGGTTATTCCAACTCCTAAGCATGTGATTNGAGATATTAACAGCTCTCTCTATACCTGCTCATCAGGCACATTTCCCTCAGGTTATTCCAACTCCTAAGCATGTGATTTCCCTCTGGGCCTCTGGAGTAAGCAGAAAGGAAATTTTTCCTAATGACTCTCTGACCCCCAAGAGACAAGGTTGGAAGTCGAGTGAACTCAGTTTTTATGACTCCTTGTCTTGCTCACATGCTTTCCAGAGGTCTAACCTTCTATGGCCTTATCCCATCCCTGACCACATTTTCTTCAAAGTCTGATTTGGGGTGGGGCACAGACCTGGTATCTCTGGAAACTTGCCATTCTCTTCAACAAGGCAGAACTGTGCTCCTCTGAGATGCAATCTTGGGCACCACACTGTTTGGCTTCCTTACACATTTGTCAAAATAATTAGGGGCTATTGCTTATATCACCAGTTAAGAGCTTTCATTTAGGTGCCTCATAAAATACTTACTAATTATAAGAGATACATTTTGATATTTTTATGCCACATGACCTGAGCCTAACATTTTAAAGGAATTGTCTGATTTAAGTTTTAGAAAAGTCCATTTTATGAGGTAGTATTATGAACTCTCTTCCTTATGGCAGAAATAGGGTTTGATGGAGTTTACCGATCTCCTCAGAGTTCAAACTAATAAGAGGTGGGGTATTCATTGGAATTCTATCAGGATGCTTTTAGTTTTCACTGTGGGGCACTGGTTCTCAACCAGAGGTGACTTTGCCTCAGGGGCTATTTGGCAAGGTCTGAAGGATGATGCTGAACACTGACAACACCCAGCACAAGTAATTATCCTGCCTCAACTGTCAACATGAAAAGGTGAGAACACCTGGCCTAGACCCACACTTCTTCAGCTTCACTGTGCATATGAGTCCCCCAGGTTCTAGTTCGAATGCAGAATCTGAATGATCAGGTCCTGGTGGGCTAGAGATTCTGAGAATCAATAGCAATCTCCTGTGTGATGTTGGTGGTGCAGGTCCTGGTCTGAGGACCGCTCTGAGTAGCGAGGCCGATGTTCTTTGTTAGAGTCAGGCACTGAGAGTTTCATAGCTTCTGGAAAAAAATTGTAGTTGCATGTAATTTTGAATAAATAGGGAATTCACTCATTCCAGAAGCTGTTGTAAGTTCATTGTTCACTTATTTCATGTAAAGATTCACAAGTGACATCATATAATATGCTTCTGAAAAATGCCTTTTGAATTCTTTTACATAAGTGTCCTTGATAAACCAAATACTATATTTCTGAAAAGATTTTCCCTTAGGCAGAGTGAGCACCTTGAAAAGATGCCAGCATCCTAGCCCCAGAAAATTGTAATCTGTCATTTTTCATAGCAAAGGAAGGTTAAGGTAGTAGATGGAATGTGTTTGCTAATCAGCTGACCTTAAGATAAAATTGGCCGGGCATCAAAGCAAAATAAACAAATGGGTCTGCATCTAATGTGGTGAAATACACGTAACATAAAATTTGTCCTCTTAACCATTTTTTAGGTGGACTGCTCAGTGGCATTGAGTACATTCAGATGCAACCATCGCCAGCATTCATCTCCAGAACCTTCTCATCTTCACAAACTGAAACCCTGTCCCCATTAAACACTCACTCCCCAGCCCCCTCCCCCAGCCCCTGGCTCCCACCATCCCACTTCCTGTGTCTCTAACTTTGACTCCTCTTGGGGCCTCATAAAAGTGGAATCATACGCTATTTGTCCTTTTATGACTGCTTTATTTCACTCAGCATAATGTCCTCAAGGGTCATCCATGTGGTAGCATGTGTCAGAACTTGCTTCCTTTGATTAAAAATTTTAAGTGGTAAAAAACACATGAGAAAATTTACCATTGTGACCACTTTTAAATGTGCAATTCAGTAGTGTCAGGTACATTCACATTATTGTGCAACCAACCTCCCGAATTCCGCATCTTGCAAAACTGGATTCCCACACCCACTAAATACTAACTCCCCCTCACACCACGCAGCCACCATTCTATTTTTTGTTTCTATGAAATTCACTACTTTAGATATGTCATATCAGGATATCATGCAGTATTGTGTTTTTGTGACTGGCTTCTTTCACTCAGCATGGTGTCATTAACTCTGGCTTCTCTTTCAAATTCCTATTTCTCTGTTGTATGTGCATTTCAAAGGCCACCTCCCTCTATCAGGACCCCCACCGGCAATAAATACAACTATCAGGTTGGAAACCAGTATGAATATGCTAAGAGCAAGTCAATAAAAAGAAAAGCAATGTCTACACCAGCATGTTAAAACAGCAGTATGAGGAAAGCAACAGCTTTCCAGCTCTGTTAAGCAATGAGTTAAGGCCCTGGAAGAAAAAGCTTTATTTCTCTTCAACCTAGAAATGGTAAGTGGGAGGCAAGCGGACAAGGGGGGATGTTCATATTTGGAGGGGGCCTGACCCTCTTATAGTAGAACTTCCATATCTGCTCATACACATATTTTCACTCTCACTCTCTTCTCTAAGGTCATTGAGCAGTTGTCGATGGATGTAGAAATAAAACCTGACTGAATTGAAATTTTCACAAGTGGTAGATGCAGAGATGGCCCAATTCTTGACTCCATGTCTTTGGCAATGTTACTGTGAACTCCTCCCATGCAGAGGTGGAGTTTATTTCTCCATCTTTGAATGTGGGCTGAAGTTAGGATTTTACTGGTTTTGGCCAATATGAGATGGTGGAAGTGACAGTGTGCTTGAGCAGGCCTCGGTGCATTTCTGCTGCTCTCACTCGGAGCCCTGTTTCGGCCATGTGATCAAACCCAGGTGGGCCTCCCAGAGAAGGAAAGGACATGTGGACAGAGCTCATTTATTCCAGCCAAGCGCTCCCTACATCAGTCACAGTACCTGAGCCCCTAATACATGAGAAAGCCCGGCCAAGGTCAGCAGAGACATACCAGCTGACCCACAGCTGAGTCCAGGCTCGTGAGGAGACCAGCGGTGATCAGAGCACCTCCCCACTATACAGACCCATTAGAAAATAAAGGAATTCTACTAAACCTTTTGCTTTTAGGATGGCTTGTTCTGTAGCAATAGTGGATTGTTAGTATAATCAAAGGGAACAGAACTGAGGGAAAGTATAATAATCTGCTACTTCTTACTTTTGCCATTTGTACTGATATCTGAGGACAGCGTTCACAACCATTCTGTTATTCAAATGTATTTCAGAAAACTGTCTCAAAGTGAGCCCACTGAGGTTCCCTTCCTGGCAGTCAGGACAGTGTGGAAAGACGTACATGTTTGTGCAAGAAAATTTGTGATTCTTAGTCACATGACTGGACAGGATTTCAACTTCTGTTTGATTCGTCTTCTGATCAAAAACATTGACAATATTCCCACTTATAAAGGAGATATAAGTTGTATGATATTGATGCTAATCATTCACTGTGCCTTTGGCAGATTTGAAAAAATTTAGAAGGTGGAGATATTTAAATTAGGGCACTAGAACGAGTCACATTTGTAGGGAGCACATTGAAAGTTTTTAAGCAGAAACAGGAAAATAGTGCAGAAAAAAATCATAAAAGACTCCAGGTAATTCTTCAACCTGACGAATAAGAATTACACATGGACATCATATTCCACACGTTATTTCATTAATTTTTATTTTATTTTTATTGATTTTTTTTTTTTTTTAGAGAGGCAGGAAGAGAGAGAGAAAGAAACATCGATGTGAGAGAGAAAGAACAATCGACTTCCTCCTATGTGCTTCCCAACAGCGATGGAACCGGTAGCCTAGGTTCATGCCCTAAGCAGGAATTGAACCCACAATCTTTATGGTGCACAGGATGATGCTCCTAGCAACTGAGCCTCTAGGCCAGGGCAATCAGCCACACTTTGATGAGTAGATGTGCACCAGGAAAAATATTTTTGTATAGTGATAAATGGTATGGCTATTTTTGCTTCTCTGACTGTAACCATATTAGATCAGTCTAATTATTAAAATGTATATTTCCATATAGACTGCTCTTGGGAACATCTATTTGATAGTCAATTTTTGCCAGAGGCTATGGTATGTGGACACACAGCTGTATACCTCAATGAAGGATATAAAACCAGGAGACGGGCTATAAAACATACTAGCATGTTGAAGTCTACATTATCAAGAAGAGCAGTAAAGGTGGTGCTGTAGAAAATGGTGAACATATAAGTGAAAACTGTGGCCTCAGATTTTCCTCTACAATAAAATTATGTTAATGGCCTTAGTACAGTTCTGTCCACAGGGGTAGTATGATTTATGACAATTCTTTCAGGAAAACAATAGAAAAATTACTTGGAGTGATATATGTCATAAGAGAATAAATTATGCTAAAGTAATTCATTTAACACATGAGATAAATGAGAATTTCCAATTATATATGTATGGTTCAAAGGTTGAAATAATTTGTCCTAGACGGTTTGGCTCAGCAGTTTAAGCTTCAGCCTATGGACTGAAGGGTCCCAGGCTTGATTCTGCCCAGGGGCCGGTGCCTCAATTGCAGGTTCCATCCCTGGCCCTGGTTGGGGTGGGGTGCATGTGGGAGGCAACCGATCCATGTGTCTCTCATATTGATGTTTCTCTCTCTTTATCTCTTCCACTCTCTCTGAAAAGCAATGAAAGAATATCCTCCTGGGAGGATTAAATTAAAGAAAAGATTGGATTAATTTGTGTTAGAACTTCTGGTTCTGAGGCTTTGTACTCTGTATTCATGGGAACTTCTTCAGACAAGTACAGTTGATCCTTGAAAAGCTTCCCTGCCAAGGAATCTCTTCAGGGCCCTCTTTATGTCTTTGTTCCTGAGACTGTAGATGAAGGGGTTCAGCATGGGTGTGACCACCGTGTACATCACCGAGGCTGCTGCACTTGCATGGGAGCTGTTGGTAGCAGCAGAGCTGAGGTAAACTCCTAGGCTTGTACCATAAAATAAGGACACAACCGAGAGGTGAGACACACAGGTAGAAAATGCTTTATACTTCCCCTGAGCTGATGGGATTCCACAGATGAAGGAAATTATCTTAGAGTAAGAGTAAATGATCCCAGCAAAGGGACCACCACCCAGCAGCCCAGCTGAAAAATACATTATTATGTTGTTAAGAAAGGTGTCAGAACAGGCAAGTTGGACCACCTGATTGAGTTCACAGAAAAAGTGGGAGATTTCCAAGTCTGAGCAGAAGGGCAGACCCAACACCATCAAGCTTTCTAACAAGGAATTCAGGAAACTCATGATCCAGGACACTAGAACCAGCAGTCCACAGAGCCGGGGGTTCATGATGACCACGTAGTGCAGGGGGTGGCAGATGGCCACGTACCTGTCATAGGCCATCACGGTCAGGAGGAAGTCATCCAATGCCGCAAAGAGTATGAAAAAATACATCTGGGTGACGCAGCCTGCGTAGGTGATGGCTCTGCTCTGTGTCTGGATGTTCACCAGCATCTTCGGGACGGTGGTGGAGGTGAGGCAGATGTCCACCAAGGACAGGTTGGACAGGAAGAAGTACATGGGCGTGTGGAGGCGGGAGTCGGAGCCGACGGCCAGCACGAGGAGCAGGTTTCCCAGCACGGCCACCAGGTACATGGAGAGGAACAGCCCGAAGACGAGGGGCTGCAGTTCCAGGGCCTGTGAAAGCCCCAGGAGAAGAAATTCTGAAATCTGTGTACCGTTGCCTCGTTCCATGTGTTGCAGTTAACTACCAAGAAAAAGAAAGAAAAAACGAATAACTAATTTTCATATTAGCAAGCATTGGTAACTGAGAATAAATGGCACATTTCTATTTTAGAATCAGGGAAGTCATTTGCATATTGGGTGTATGATCTGGTTCCCATTAAGGCATCTCTATTGCCATTTCCCAGTAGAATTTCCTTCTCTACCGTCAACCTGTTGATGGTATATTGCTGTTTTATTGAGGATGTCTTTCAGTATTTGAGGAATATATATTGATTCTAGACCATGCTCCAGGCACTGTTCAGAGTATAGGTACTTCAAAACAAAGTCTACAAACTAATGATGGAGAAAGACTATAATTAAATAAAAATAATAATATACATATCCAATGGTGCAGATGCTATAAAGAAAAGTAAATCACATTAAATGGAGAGAGTGGATAGAGGGTGTTCTGTTTTATAGAGTTTAGCCAGGACTTGCCATCAGGCCCAACTTTAACAGACACCTCAAAGAAGAATGAGCAGGAGCCTGAAGTGGAAGTATTTCCCAGGCAGAAAGAACAGCCAGTGCAAAGGCCCTGAGGAAGTTGGTTGTTGTAGAAAATCAAGTCTCAGGAGTTTCAAGATGCCAGCGGAGAAGGTGGATTATTTTTGCACCTCTTCTCAGAACAAACTGGAAATAAAACTAAATTGTGAAACATACACCCTGAATTACTAACTGAAGAGTAGCTGAAGAGGAGACTTAAACAAGGAAGTGCAGAAGCCACCTTGACACTTGCGGGAAGGTGTGGCTGCCAGAGGGGCTGACACCCCTCCCCCAGGGCAGCCCAAGTTTGAGGAGGGACATCTCCGCTGTGTGTGTGGGGACGTGTTTCCCCTGAGAGAAGTGAGGTCTGGACCCCAGGCTGGGCTCTCCAGGTCGGAGAACCAGAGCCAGGAACATCCGCCCATGCCCACGTAGTAGCGCCCAGTAGTGAAAGGCTGCAGGGCTTCTCTCCACTAGGGAGAGACCAGGCAAAGTCACATTTTTTATCTTAAAGGGTCGGAGCACCGGATTTTCATTTGCAGCCACTCACCCTGGGCTTTGGCAGAGGGAGGGAGGTGCTGACTGGAGTCACCTGAGGAGAGCCTGGGGTGGGTGGCAAGTGGGAGAGCAGCTGCTGGGATACCTGTGCTCAGTCACCCTCCCTGATACCGCAGCAGCCATTTTTCCTGAGTGGTGCAAGCTCCTTCCAGCAGCAGCAACCTGGGAAAAAGCGATTACCACCCCTTCTGGGACACAGCTCACCCCACCCCCTGGAATCCCACTGTCCCACCCTGCACCTGGACCCCTGCTGAGAAGGCAGCAGCAGAAGTGGAACCCACAGGTCTGGGCAGGCTCGGGGGCATCGGTGACTGGCTTTTGAGCAGGGCCATTCCCCCAGCTTTCCTGGGAACCTGACTGGCAGACACTTTCCGCTCATGGGAGAGCTGATAGGAACGCCTGACTTCGGCAGACCCCACCAGCTTGCCTGTGAGTGTACCCGCCTGCTAAGGTAAGGGAAATGTTCCAGGACAGACTCAGACCAGTGGCTCTGGGGTAGGGGGACATCCCCACCATCTTCCCTGAAGTCTGAACCACACCTCCTCTTCACAGGAGATACCATCTTTCCAATTTCACCAAAAGCCCTTTGAGAAACAGCCTTTGTACTCACTAAGTCCGACAGCCAGCAGGCAGGTGGAGGCAGGCAAAGGTGGATCCCAAGGTGCTTTGGGATGTTTGCTGACCCGCCCCGGGCCTCATGCTGCTATAAAGGCAGCCTTGGAGCCGAGCTTGGTTTCTCCCGTGTACAGCCAAGAGCAATGAGGCAGCCCCAAACTGCGGATCACTTCTAGCTTTGCGCAGGTTGCTGAGAGCCAAACGTGGACAGCTTCTGACATCAGCCAGTACCAATGTAACTCTGGGAGGCCTGAGGCCATCAACACACAAAGCAGACAGCCTCAGACAACATAAGACCGGGATCCAAAGGGAGATCCCAGCAGGCACTAAACTCCGCCGAGATGAACTCCACTGTGCTCTGTGTTCTTTTTTATTTTATTATTTTCTTTTTTGTTGCTTTATTATTTCATTTCAATCTTTTTTCTTTCACATATCTTATTTTTCTCCTTACTTTTTTATTCTATTTTTCTTTCTCCTTTTTCCTTTTCTTAATTTTTTCTCTCTTCTTTTTTTACCATTTTTCTTTTCCTATTCTTAATTCTTGTTTTTCTCTCTCCTTATTTCCTTTAATATTTTTTTCTTTCACTTATTTTCTTCTTCTTTTTTCTTCTTTTACTATTCTTGTTCTCTTTTCTCTTTTCCAATGCATTCTTGTGTTGTGATTACTTTTGTTGTTGTTGGGTTCTATTGCATGTTTTTGTTTTGTTTTGTTCAGTCAGCACCTAAACAATAGCTCACACATGTGGTTAGGCTTGAGCTTCACAGTCAGCCAGTCTGAGGGGAGATCCCACCCAAGAATAGCACAACCATAATCAAGACCCAATTACAACAGGAGAGCCCAAATCACCCACACAAGGGACATTCCCAGAGCTTCCAGTTCAGGAGATCAAGGGACTGCACCACTGGGTCCACAGGACACTTCCTACAGAGGGCCACTCCACAAAGTGTGGGAGTCATAGCAGTTCTATCTAACACATCAAAACCAACACAAAGAGACAGTTAAAACGGGGAGAAAAAGAAATAACCCCCAAATGAAAGAAAAGGAGAGATCTCCAGAAAAAAAGCTCAATAAACTGGAGGCAAGTAATTTATCAGGCATAGAGTTCAAAGTAATAGTTAAAAGGGTGCTTAGAGAACTTAATGAGAACTACAAGGAAGGTAATGGGAACTACAAAAAACTTAGTGGGAACTACATCAGCATGAAAAAGGACATAGGAACCTTAAATAAGAACTACTCAGAAAGGAAGACTACCATAACCGACATCAAGAATACACTGGAAGGAATTAAAAGTAGGCTGGATGAAGCAGGGTAACAAAAAGAAAAAAAATGAGCATAGTTTAAAGGAACTTGGTGCAACATGAAAGGTAACAATAATGACAGAAAACTTCTTTAACCTAGTGAAGGAAAAAGTCACACAAGTTCAGAGAGAGTAGTCCTAATCAAGATGAACTCAAATTGACCCATGCCACGACACCTCATAATTGAAGGGGCAAAGATTCAAGACAAAGAATCTTAAAGGCAGCAAGAGAGGAACAGTAAGTTACCTACAAGGGAGTTCCCATAGGCTGTCAGCTGCTTTTCTACAGAAATACTTTAGGCCAGAAGAGATTGGCCTGAAGTATTCAAAATAATAAAAAGGAAGAACCTGAATCCGAGACTACACTATCCTTCAAGGCTCTCATTCAAAATTGAAGGTGAAATAAGGATCTTCCCAGGCAAAAAAGGGCTAAAGGAGTTCAATACCACCAAACCAGCATTGCCAGAAATGTTACGGGGGCTGCTTTAAGAAAAAGAAGAAATGGAGAGAGAGGGGAACATAGGTACAAAATCATGGCAATAAATAAGTACCTGTCAATAACCACCTTAAATGTAAATGGATTAAAGGCTCCAATCAACAGACATAAGGTAGCTGAATGGATAAGAAAACATGGCTGATATATATGCTGCTTTCAAGAGACCTACCTCAGAACAAAAAATTCACACAGACCAAAAGTGAAGGCATGGAAAAATATTCCATGCAAATGGAAATGAATAAAAAGCTGGGGTAGCAATACACATATCTGACAAAACAGACTTCAAAACAAAGGCCATAACAATAGACAAAAAGGTCACTACACAGTACTGAAGGGATCCATCCAATAAAAGGACATAACCATGGAAACATATATGCACCTTATACAGGAGAACATAAATGTATTAAAAAAACAACAACCACCTCTTGGGGCACTTTAAGAGAGACTTGCAGCAATATAGTCATAGTAGGGGCTTTAATACTACAGTATCATCACTGGATAAATCTTCCAGACAAAAAGTCAACAAGGAGATAGTGAGCTTAAGTGACAAATTGGATCAGATGGATTTAATTGATATTTCCAGGACATCTTATCCTAAAGCAACAGAATATACATTCTTCTCACATGCATATGGAGCATTCTCAAAGATAGACCACATGGTAGGACAGAAAATAAGTCTTAAAAAATTCAAGAAAATTGAAATCATATCAAGTATCTTCTCAGATAACAATGGCATGAAACTAGAAATTTCAGTGTTTTTAAACTAAATTAAAAACACAAATGGAAGCTAAATAGCATGTTATTAAATAATGAATGGGTTACCAAGGAGATCAAGGAGGAAATAAAAAAATTACGTCTAGCCGTAGTCAGTTTGACTCAGTGGTTAGAGCACAGGCCTGTAGACTGAAGGATCCCAGGTTCAATTCCAGCCAAAGGCACATACCTCGGCTGCAGGCTCAGTCCCAGTTGGGGCAAGTGCAGGAGGCAACCAATTGATGTGTCTTTTTCACATCAATGTTTCTCTCTCTTTCTTTCTCTATCCCATCCACTCTCTCTGAAAAGCAATGGAAAAAATATCCTCAGATGAGGATTAAAAAAAAATTACCTCTAAATTAATGAAAATTAACACACAACAGCCCTAAATTTATAGGACACAGCAAAAGCAGTCCTAAAAGAAAAGTTCGCAGCATTACAGGCCTACCTCAAGAAGCAAGAAAAATCTCAAATAAACAATCTAATCCTAAACCTAAAAGAACTAGAAAAAGAACAACAAGAAAAACCCAGAGAAAGCAGAACGAAGGAAATAATAAAGATATGAGTGAAAATGGATGACATAGAGTCTTAAAAAGCAATGCAAAAGATCAATGAAACCAAGTGTTGGTTCTGTGAGAAGATCAACAAGATTGATGAACCTGTAGCCATTCTCACAAAGAAGCAAAGAGAGAGGACCCAAATAAGTAAAATCAGAAATGAAAGAGGTGGCCTGTCCAGGTGTGGTTCAGCGGTTGAGTGTCGACCTG